ACCAAGGCAAGCAAAATGTTTGAGTTCAGGAGTTCAAGACCAGCCTGGGCAACATGGTGAAACCCCACCTCTACAAAAAATACAAAAATTACCCACGTGTGGTAGCATACCCCTGTCGTCCCAGCTACTTAGGAGGCTGAGGTAGAAGAATCACCTGAAGCCCAGCAGGCAGAGGCTGTGGTGAGCCAAGATCGCACCACTGCACTCCAGCATGAGTGACAGAGTGAAACCCCATCTCAAAAAATAAAAATAAAATAAAACAATAAAAATAAAAATATTGTTCATTTTTATTTTCTTCTGTTTTTTAAGCCTTTGTTAGAATTTAACTCTTTATGTAAAATTTATTTTGACATGTGATAAGAGATGAAAATTATAATTTTAAATGTTTTCCCAAATCTTTGCCCAGTTGTTATAGTACCACTTGTTCAACAAGTTTTATGCTTCCTTTAATACATAACCAAATTCTAATTGTACTGGAGTTTCTATCTGCCTCTCTATTCTATTTCACTTGCCTGTCTGTTGATTTTGGCACCAGTACCACATGAGCTCAATCACTATGGCTCTGTAACGTATGATACATCAATATCCAGTAGGATAAGACTACTCAGCATTTTTTTGTTTTCAAAAATTTCATAGGTTGTGGTGGCTCACACTTGTAATCCCAGCACATTGGGAGGCTGAGGCAGGAGGATCTCTTGAGCTCAAGGAGTTTAAGACCAGCCTGAGCAATATGGCAAGATGAGACCCCATCTCTACAAAAAATACAAAAAATTAGCTGGGTGGGGTGACACCGGCCTGTAGTCGAAGCTACTCCAGAAGCTGAGATGGGAGGATTGCTTGCATCTGGGAGGTTGAGGCTGCAGTGAGCTGTGATCCAGCAACTAATCCAGCCTGGGTGATAGAGCCAGGCTCTGTCTCAAAATATAAAATAAAATTCATGGTTTTCTATGAGGGAGTTTTCTACCTCTCTTCTATCCACTCATCCTATATTTAATAAATATATAGAAATATTTAATATAAATATACATTTTAAAAATATATTAGTATATATTATAGATTAATATAGACATGTATTTAGTATACCTATTTCAGTATTTCTTTGGAATAGATTCATTAAAGTGGCATAATTGGGTCAATAATATATATTAATATATATATATTTATCTATATTAAATATACATAAATTTAAATAGATAAGATATATAGTTAATACATATTTATGAATATAAAATATATAAATAGATATAGTAGATATTAATATATTATACATAATATATTTAACATATATATCTATATATTAATAAATAGATTATACACCATATTTTAATATAAAATATTTATTTAAATTTAATATTTATATATTACAGTGCATATTATGTATTAATAAATATATGTTAATATGATTATAATAAATATATATTACATATAATATGTAGTATTATTATATATATTGAAGTATTGATTAGAATGGCATGACACTATACCTTAATTAATTGATACTTTTTTTTTTTTTTTTT